CTATAGAACATAGATACTCAAGTTTTTCTTTCAACGATTAGTCTTATATAGTAATCGTTCATACCCTTTTAGTTTCTTTCCAAACACTTGTGAACATAATTTTTCTTCGTATAGTCTTTTCAAGTAATCTATGTTTGATCAAATATATTTATAAACAAGATAGGTCGTGAAAAGTGAATGATGCTGAACCGTGAAATATGGTTCGTATTACATAATTCCAATGATTCTTAATTCAAAACAGTGGAGGGTATGAGTGTTCGTGTAGCCATTGTTTTCCCTTTAAGCACCGCCCCACCCACCAACATCCTCGTCGTTCTGACTTTTTTCAAACTATTGTCTTTTATTTTGAACTAGAAAATGTAATACATCCTGAACCGATGTTTCTCAAAACGTACAAAGTTTGGTGTCATGAAGTTTTTGCTGTTGAAAAGTCTATTCCACAAAATTTGTGCACATTAAGATAGGCTATTTTGGTGTAGATCGTTCGGATGAAACACCCACAAGAGACGTTATAATGAATTGTGATTTTTCCTCTGTTTTTAGCTGTCCAATACGAACTACAAAATGATTTTACTTGCTGCTTTTTTTATTATTATCATCATTCACAATACTCTCAACTGGCTATTGAGACCAACTTGTTCGTCGTCATTGACAAATAACGATGATTTTCTTTTCGATATTGTTTATACTTATGTCAATGGTAGTAATGAAGACTATACTCGACTGCGGGACTACTGGTTTTCTGTCGACAAACAACATTTGGGCAGTGATCGTCTGCAAGAACGTCACAGCACTACATCGAGTCTATCGAAAGATAACAATGAATTATGTTTTTCACTGAGAAGTATTGAAAAGTATATGCCATCATTTCGTGGTCATATCTATGTTGTAACCGATCAAATACCAAATTGGTTAGATATTTCAAAATCACAGCCACAACTCCGAGTGATTTCAACTCGAGAAATAATAGATAAGAAGTATCTTCCAACATTTAATTCTCATGCTATCGAAGCTAATCTTCACAAAATTCCAAATTTGAAAGAATTTTATCTTTATTTTAACGATGATTACATACTTGGACGTCCAGTTTCGATCGATGATTTTTTCCTCGATGGAAAATGTCCAGTCATTTATGGTGACAATCGTTTAACATCAAACACTAATGTTACATTGAATATTCACAAGAAAGCAATGTTGAATACAAACTTTTTACTTGACAATTTCCTGACTAATACAAATAGAAACGTGAATACAAGTGATCGACATTTTCTTCCACATGCTCCACATCCAATCAGAAAATCAATTGCTGAAGAGGTTTGGTCCTCGAAGTTCACCGAAATTCATCGTGAACAATCATCACATCGATTTCGTGACATGAATGATGTTCATCCAACTTATTTTATTTCGCGGTATTTAATTGAACAGTCGAACGGATGTGTCGAAGAACGACGAATGAAAAGTGCTTGTCCACCTGATGGAGAAGATTTTTGTAATCAAGTACTTAAGAATAGTTTAAAACAAGCAAGGCTATTTTTTGACGGACTTCGTCATCGACCACAAATGCCAAAATTTTTAAGTATTAATGATCGTACAAATAAAAATTACACACATCAGAGCAGAATTCATGAGGAATTTCGACGCTTTTTAAAAGAAATGTTTCCACATAAAAGCAAATTCGAATTGAAAGATTGTACACTGTGAAAAGAAAGTAAAATTTTGACTAATAAACAGAAAAAGAAAAACACAGATGCAAATGTCTCGTCGACAAGTCTACTTGTTCAAATCTTCTTTGCAAGATATTTAGTGATTGTCGTTCAATTATTAGTGGAAAAAAATCAATTAGTAATTGTAAATCGTACTACATTGCTGTCGATTTCAATTTACACTCTGCCTTTCTTTCTCAGTCGAAGAGTACTTAAATTAGATTTAACGATTTAGTTTATTAGGATTTTCCTTTTTCTAGAGCAAAATGTATAAAGTAAGGATGGAAAGGTGAATTAGATCAATCATGTGTATCAAGAGAAAAAAGTATCATAATTACCTCAATGGTTCACGAAAATGCATGTAAGTAAACAAAACGAATGTGTCTAGAATGGATATGGATAAGTCGCTATCATGCACTTGCCACTTATTTCGAGAATCTCATCAAGTAACTTCTAATGTTCTACATTTTCCGACTAATTAGAATTTAAAGAAAACAAATTTCATTGATGAATGTTGAAGAACATTAAATAAGAGAGGTTTCGTGAAAGGATCATCCGAATTCATTGAGTTTCACTGAAAACACGTATAGGCTTTGATTTTCTGTAACTATTGTGGAAAGATCATATATCGTACGTATATGCCAAAGACCAAACACTAGTAATCCAGATCCACAATACATGTTACTTTTTTTTCTTGTATTAAAAGGTGAGATTATTGCATGAAATAAGGATCAATTTGGATTTTGTTCTACATGAAGATGCAAGTCATCTTGAAAAACAAACATCCTAAAGAGAATTGAGATCGAAAATATGGCACATAGGCCCAAAGAGTAAATTTTCAACGACTAGTATGACAAACAACTAGGAAGACTGTTTCAATTACAAAACTGCTTTGAGACAGAATCATTTCCCAACATGATCGAAAGAAAATATTGCTAACAAGACATTTCAAAAGAATAATCACAAATACACGAAAATATACTGCACACATCTACAGAAAAGGACAAATAAAATGAACAAGTTCATTTTTGATGATTTCGAATAATGAAAATCTTTTATAGTTGTGTTTTAGTCTCGAATGAATTTCTAAAGACAATCTAAGAAGAGTGTGAA